CCCTACAGGCGGGGGCCGAGGGCCCAGAATAGTCAACACTTAGCCTGTGCATCCTCATGAGCCCTGGCAGTTGATATGGCCTCCCAGGAGCCTCTTGGGCCCCTGACCCAGGGAATGAAGGGCCTCCCGGAGCCCCTGCAGCCCTGACCTTATGGGCCTGGTGGGGTCTGTCCGAGTCATCTTCTGATCAAGAGGGATCTGCTCCCACTTGAAATGCAGGCTCCAGTCGAATCCTAAGGGACAGAGCAGGGTGAGGACACGACTCAGGGCAGAGCCCACTGGGAGCTGTTGACCCCCCTCATTCCACCATCCCTTAGGGTGTCCATTGTCCTGAGAACTCTGTGAAGTCATGCCTTCATTCTGAATGAGACAAGCCCCTGCCCTCATGGAGTTTACAATCTGCTGGGTAAGACAGAGACTATAAAAATAAATAAATGTGGGACCAGCAGATTGAGTAATGGTTACATTGCTGGACTCCCTCATAGTCAACTGCTGTTCAAGTCCCGGAACCCTGGGCACGCGTGTGTGTGGGGAATTGCAGCATGGCCATTCCCTTGGGGAGTGATTTCTTGCTTTCTGTCTCTCAAGCGAGCACACATGCCCTATAGCAAAATTCTCTCTTACAAAACAAACAAATAAATAAATGGATAGTACGTCAGTCAGGAGTGGGAAGTTCTTTTTTAAAAGGGAAAGGGAAGAAAGAAAGAGTGCGTGAGTTGGCCTCATATCTCAGCAGTTAAGGGAGCCAGATCCCACATGGTCAACTAGAGTTCAAACCCTGACCCTGGCAGCTGGAAACACACACCAGAAGCATGTGTGTGCATGCCCAAAATTCTGATGCAATAAAGAAATGGAAGAAAAAGGCTTGTGTCATGACAACAACCCATTGGGATTGCTTCTGACTTGGCAAATGCACTCTGACAATTAAAAACAATCAAATGTAGGCTAGCTAGTGGCGGGATCTCACAAGGTTGACTTTGTGGTTCAAGGCCTAGACACGGTGACTTGAAAAACATACGGAGCACATGTATGTGCATGCCCAATGTCCTGAGAGGAGAATGAAGAAGAGAGGATTGCTGTGTGCCCATCCCCCGTGACGGGTGATTTCTTTCTCTCTAAATGTGTGTCTCTGTCTCTTTCTCTGCTAAGCTCATGCATCCTACAACGAACTGCCCCCACCAAAAAATAAAAATAAAAAAGATCACATTTTAGAAAGGGTGCCCATACTACTTTAGTGAGAGCAGTTAGGAAAGGCTCTCATGAGATGACATTGAATAGAGACTTGAGTGAAAGGTGAATCCATGCAGATTTCTGAGGAAAGAGAATTCCAGGCATGAGTAGCATCAAGTGCAAAGACCCTGAGGTGATTTCTCAAAGGGAAAATTGAATCCAATTCCACGACTTAACTAATAGATGAATTCATTTACTGAGATAGCACCCAGCAATAGCACTGTCTGACAGACCTTCCTGCGGCGACAGGAGTACTCTGCACCTGCACTGCCCACTGCGGTAGCTACTAACCTAGGCGACAGGAGCACTCTGTACCTGCACCACCCACCGCGGTAGCTACTGACCTAGGCGATGGGAGCACTCTGCACCTGCACCACCCACTGCAGTAGCTACTAACCTAGGCGACAGGAGTACTCTGCACCTGCACTGCCCACTGCGGTAGCTACTAACCTAGGCGACAGGAGCACTCTGTACCTGCACCACCCACCGCGGTAGCTACTGACCTAGGCGATGGGAGCACTCTGCACCTGCACCACCCACTGCAGTAGCTACTAACCTAGGCGACAGGAGTACTCTGCACCTGCACTGCCCACTGCGGTAGCTACTAACCTAGGCGACAGGAGCACTCTGTACCTGCACCACCCACCGCGGTAGCTACTGACCTAGGCGATGGGAGCACTCTGCACCTGCACCACCCACTGCAGTAGCTACTAACCTAGGCGACAGGAGTACTCTGCACCTGCACTGCCCACTGCGGTAGCTACTAACCTAGGCGACAGGAGCACTCTGTACCTGCACCACCCACCGCGGTAGCTACTGACCTAGGCGATGGGAGCACTCTGCACCTGCACCACCCACTGCAGTAGCTACTAACCTAGGCGACAGGAGTACTCTGCACCTGCACTGCCCACTATGGTAGCTACTAACCTCATTTGGCTACTGAGCACTTGAAATGCAGCTAGTGGGCCAGCCAGGTGGCATGGAGGTCAAGACAGCTAGATCCCATATGGCCAGCTGCACAGTTCTAGTCTGAGACCCAGAGGCTTGAAAAACACAGTAGATGCATGTGTGTATATGCCTAAAATCCTGAAAGGAGAATGGAGGAGAAGGGACTATGGCATGGCCAGTCCCCTTGGGGGGATGCTCTCTCACTTTCTGTCTCTCTCTCTCCCTCTGTCTCTCTCTCTGGAAAGTGCATGCACCCTATAACAAATGAAAAATAATAAGTAAATAAATACAGCTAATACAACTAAGGAACTGAATTTTACATTTTATTCAACTTTAATAAATTTAAATAGCCAAATGTAGCTATCATCTGCTGTATTGGACAGCACAGTGCTGGAGTCTAGGTCAGAGTGGTCCAAAAGAGATAAAATGCAAGGTGGCCACATATGTAATTCTATATGCTCTAGTAGGTCTGACCCTATAGCCTGGTGGTCAAAGGAGTCAGATTCCACCTAGCCCGTGGCAGTTCAAATCCCAGACCCTACAGCTTGACAAACACACTGTGCATGCCAAAAATCCCAACAGGATGGAGAAATGGAGGAGAAGGGATTGCGGCATGACTATGCCCCATAGGGATATACTTTCTTCCTCTCTCTCTCTCTGTCTTTCTCTGGTGAGCACACATGCCCTCTGGGAATAAAAAAAAAATTAAGATGCTCTAATAACCATATTGAAAAAGTAAGAATATATATAATTAATTTGAATAATATTTTAAATGCAATATATCCAAAATACTATCCTTTCAACATGGAATCAATATAAAAAATTGCTTTACATTCTTTCATACTAAGTCTTTGAAACCTGGTACATATTTTATGCTTCTAGCACATCTCAATTTAGACTAGTCACTCATTAAGACTAGTGACATTTCTTTTCTTTTTAAAGAATTATTTATTTGGGGGTCGGCAGGTGGCATGGTGGTTAAAGGCGCTGGACTCCCAAATGGCCGACCCTGGTTCAAGTCCTGGACCTGGCGGCTTGCTTTCTCACTCTCTCTCCCTCTGTCCTTAAAAATTTGACCAGAGAGAGAGAGAGAGAGGGAAAGCAAGAAAGCATGCCACCAGGTCCAGGACTTGAACTGCAGTCAGCCATGTGGGAGTCCAGTGCCTTAACCACCATGCCACCTACTGCCTCAAGACTAGTCACATTTCAAGAGCTCAACAGCCAAATGTGATTAATAGCTACAGGTCTTCATCATCTCTGGGAGGCACATGTTAGGAATTCATGCAAGGCTGAGGGCTCTCCCTCTCTAGTCCCTTTCCCCTAAGACATTTGTCACATCATGGCCTTCTGCTGAGACTTGTGGCCATAGTCCTCGGGCTGGTAGCATTTGGGAAGGATGGCTGGAACCTGCCACTGACTGTTGAAGGCCTGTACCTGGTGGCTCTGGCCCTTTGCCTCCAACCCCAGGGCACTGTCCAATCCTTCTTCATTTTCTCTTTAGAAGGAAGTGGGTGTAAGATTCTCTGGCATAGCTGGATAAAGCACCCATCTAAGGCTTCTGCTTGCCCTTCCCTGCCTCCTTCCAGGTCCAGAGACCTTCCCTGGGAGTGAAACTCACCTCCACGAAGGTCAGCAGATGCTGCAAGGTAGGCAAAATTATCCAGACTGATGACATCGATGATGGGGCTCACTACACGGGTGTGGTCCTAGAAGCAGAGATGTGAAATGATATGAGGCCAGGCACTCCTCTGCATAAAACACCCCAACCACCTGCTCTGGGAAGAAGGCCTCTCTGAGACATGGGGCACCTAGTGCTTCCTGAGGGACATGCCCAGGGCTTCTCTAGGATCCTGGCAGTCTCCTAGGAGCTGTCCTGCCTCACCACACCAGGCTGCTGGACAGTCTCACCAGGATTTCACAAACACAGTACTCCCCCAGTCTCTTCCTTTGATATCATTTTGAGTCCTGCTAGGATCTCACCTCCTCAGTGAAGGCCCTCCTGACTGATGCAGACTAAAGGATTTCTCCCTCTTTTAGACTGCTCTAGACAACTCCCTGGACAATGACTCGTGCGATCTGAGGTGGCTTTTCTGTGACTGGCTTGTACTGCTGTTCTGTTGATCATCATTTACCTTTGTATGTGACTGAGGTGAATCTTCCCAACTGGACCACCAGCAGCTTGAGGGTAGGGGCCCTATGGTCCCTTTATAAACTGGGTGCCAACGCTCTTTTGTCACATCCACTGAAAGGTTGAACTGTCCACTCCCTTTGTCACCTCACAGAACACAAAACCAACTTCAAGACATTGGTGAGTAATGTCGATTTTGCTGAGGTCATTTTGTGGAGAGGTGACGGTGGTGGATTATGGCATACAACACTGGCAAAACATCATCACCCTGCATTAGCCTTCTCTTTCCCCTCCCTCCATGGAAGGCCATAACACAGACTCTTGTTTCTTCTCTTCCTCCATTCAGCTTTGACCGTCCACGTCCTCTTCTTGCAACTGGGAATCCAGCCCTGGTCCTCAGCACACATGCAGGATAATGGAAGCTTGGCAGGTGGTTGATCAGAAGGGACCATCAATGGCTTTTCAATGAGCCATGGGGCCTCACCTTGTTCTTTTTACAGATGTTTTTGTCTGAGATATAATGCACATATCACATTAACTGTTTTTTTCTTTTTTTTAGAGAGAGAGAGATTTTTGCTATAGGGCATGTGTGCTCGCCAGAAAGAGAAAGAGAGATGGAAAGCGAGAAATCACCCCTCAGGAAGATGACCATGCCACAATTCTTTTTCCACCGTTCTCCTCTTGGGATTCTGGGCATACACACACATGCACCAGTGTGAGTTTGAAGCTACCAGGTCTGGGACTTGAACTGTGGTCAGCCACGTGGTAGTCCAGCAATGTAGTCATGATGCCATCTGCTGGTCCCAACATTCACTGTTTTAAAGTGTGCAATTTGATGGGTTTTCAGTATATTCACCCATCACTACTATCTAGTTCCAGAATATTTTCATTACCCCAGCAAGAAATCCTAATCTACTTTCTATTTCTTTTTAAAAATATTTATTTAATTTTTAATTTATTAATATTATTTTTTAATTTGATGAGAAATGGAGAGAGAGAGAAAGAGTGAGAGAGAGCAAGCTGCCAGGTCCAAGACCCAAACCATGGTTGGCCATGTGGGAATCTAGCACCTTAACCAACTGCCGGGCCCTCTACTTTCTATTCCTATGGATTTGCTTATTCTAGATATTTTATATAAACCTAATGATATGCTGTGTGGCCTTTTTTTAAAAAAGAAATATTTATTACTATTATTTTCCAATTTGTCCAGAGAGAGACAAAGAGAAAGGGAAAGTGAGAAAGAAAGCCACCAGGTCTGGGACTTGAACCGTGGTTGGCCATGTGGGAGTCCGGCACCCTTAACCATCATACCACCTGCCAGCCCCGCTCTGTGGCCTTTTATAAGTGACTTTTGCTTCTTTAAGGTTTTCATTTTTTGTGTGTGTGAGAGATTTTTGCTATAGGGCACATGCACTCACCAGAGAGTCAGAGAGACGGAAAGTGAGAAATCACCCTCCAGGGAGGCTGGTCACACCACAATCTCTTCTCCTACATTCTTTTCTCGGGATTTTGGGCACGTATGTACATGCACGTGGTATGAGTTTTAAGCCGCTGGGTCCAGGACACGAACCGCAGTGGACAACATGAAGAATCCAACGATGGGCGCACGCGCCGGGGGCTCCCGCCCCCCAGCACAGCCGCGCGCTGGGAAAGGCCTGGCCGGCGCCCCCCCCCCCACTGGGGGGGTGGCCACGCGGCCGGGGGGGGGGGGGGGG